CAGATCCGGCTGAAGTTGCTGGAAATGCAAACCTTGCCTTTACCAGGTGCTGAATCTGCCTCTTGATACTGAAAAGGTGCCATAAAAATGCTATTACAGTGATACTTTTCTCCACTTGTTATTAAACAGCTCTGAAGGTGATGCCTGGGGTTAGTCAGCACAACCTGCTTTAATATGTGTACATAATATAATGCGCTATATTAACATCACTGAATAGATTGCAACTTGTTAACCAGTCCGATGTCAGAACGCCAATCTTTAAGAGCAAACACAGGGATCAGGAATACAGGTACCAAGATGGAAAATTGATTGGTAGTTTGAGCTTTCACTTAAGAAAGGCTTAATGGGATAAGGAGATTAATAATGGGGGTCTCTCGGGCTGTCTGTCACTGTTTCAAAGACCCCAGAGGTCAGTAATAATAGCAAAAGGATGAGGCAGGTCAGATACCTTGGTAGTCTCTCTCCGGATGTTAGCAGGCACGTACTCGCTCCATTATCCGGTTTCTAGTTGGGACGCAGCATACAGCTAATTCCAGTAGCACTGAAAGAGAAGAGACCATATTTCAATCTAGTCTTGTCAGCGTTGAGGAAATCTGCGACAAGGTCTTGCTTCCTTCTCTCCTGCTGCAGCTTTTCCTGCATCTCCATGTGTTTATTGCACTTGGGGCTGGTTTACGGACCAGGATCCCACGTGTGCTGGGCAAGGCACCGGACAACACCGTAGCCCCTGTCCTGACAAGTCAGCAATGTGAGAAATAGGAGAAAAGCGGCAGACAGAACTGCCACACCAGGCAATGACAGTTTCTAACAGGAGAAAACAGAGAGTACGTTCTCTCATCCTGGAAAGCAAGAATGGGTGGCAGCACCCCCTCTGCACATATGCAGACGCTCCTTGAGACACACTTTTCCCCTCTTCTCTGCAGTGCTGAGACCTAAGGACAGAGCACCCGAAAGCAGGCGACAAAACACTTCCAGGCAAAGGGGTTCAGCTGCTTCCGCGGCGACAGTGTTGAGCAGAGCCTTCGAGAGAGAGGTGACGGACGGGAGGCTCTGCCACCCCTGCGTCAGCCTTGGCGCAGCGTGCTCAGGGCTCCCCGGGCCGAGGGAGTTTCCACCCCGGGCCTGGGATCCCTCCAGCGCATGTGCCAGGGTTCTAGCACCCGGCCGCATTAAAAAAAAAGTGGGATTGCGGGATGAAATAAGGGAGTAATGACTCAATTAACCCCATTTCAGAAATGAAACACGCAGTGTCATGCAATTACAAGGCTTACGCTGCCGAAGCTTTGTGGTATTTATCCTAATGCTGCCCCTGGAGACTAAATTCCCTCATCTGTCTCCCTGTCATCTTTGATAAACACTGACCATACACTACAAATTAGATGATGTTGTAATTCAGAATAAGGCAGGCTTTGTGCCTATGTCTTTTTGTTTGTTTCTACAAAAGTCCTTTTAATCCAATTGGATGTTACTTTTAAAACAGCGTGAGTCAACTGAATTTATGCTTAAGGAAGTCTGCTTGAAAAAAATTAAATATTAATAATATCCAAATTTGAATCTGTTACTCGGCAGAAAAATCTTTACCAGACTTTAGTTTATTCTGCAAATTACTTCACTAGTTATTTTTTAAAAGCTCAGAGTTCTGTATAAATCTTCCATTTGAAATAGATGAAACCAACAAAATGTAAAACTCATCTCCATAACGCGCAACAAAATAATAATTTCCAGATGGGCTTTCTGATGGAAGATCAAAGTCCTTCATCTCAGACTTGGGAAATTTCCTTTGCATGCGGATATCAGTTTTATCTGAATGCAGTTCATCCAACATTTGCTTCTTTCAAAAAGATAATTAGCTAGATGAAGCTGCAGGAGAATGCTCTTAGGGCTGAAAAAAAAAATAGAAAAGATTTTACTAAAAATAGTAAAAGAATTAAATTTCTGGGTAGGTAAGGGGGGAAATCTTTCTCACTTTGAATTATACTAAAACTAGACATTTCTATACACTAAAAAATGCCAGGTTCACATGCAAAGATGAAATAAGCAGAAAAGAGTTGTCTCTGCATCGATGCCACAGGTGTGGATGCACTCCCCGCCATGCACCTCTGATTTAAAATGTCAGCCAAACTATCCGTGTGGCTAGAAAATAGCAGGTTAGCATTGTTCTGTAAATGTTTTACGCAGCTATGCATTTGAGATTTTGCTTCCAAGAAGAGCAGTTTCTACTGAAAGTCTGCACTCGCAGGGTGTCTGCATTTTCAGCTGGGCAGTTCCATAGGGTTTGTGTAAGGCTTTCTGTTCCTGAGGTTCAACCACTGCTCGTAAATGGACCCATCACTCTGAATTGCGTTCCTGTATTTTATACATAGCGTACACAAAATAGATGTACAGAATAGCTGCTCATTTCATTAAGCCTGGGATTTTCAGGAGACTGAGGAACTCAAATTCCCCGGTCCTGTTCATCCACTTCAGAGTCTGCCTTCTTCAGGACACAAGCTTCACCCTCCATCTCTGCCTCTCTCTTACACACACACTTTCATCTTGTTTTTCTCTCTGTCTCCTTACGCACTTGCACAGAAACATTCACAGTTCAGTATTTTTGTCTCCTCGGTGCCATGCCTGACATGCCTTTTTGGCTAAAAGGGCTGTGAATACACACCCTGGAATGCTAATGCATCTCACCGATGAATAGTCTTTCACCTTGGAAAGCTTAATCTGCTTTTCCCTGACCGTTTTTCCCTGTGCACCATCAGTGTAAAATATCAAAAATCTTCACAAGAAAAAATCAACCAATCAAACCTCACAGATGCACAAATAATATTTTAGACAGCAATTCACCTGAAGGTCTCTTGACAAAGGGGATTATGGAACTGAAATGTGATTATCTTGGCATTGAAGTTTCTATTTCCACCATGTGGTCTGGTTCACATATTTGATTGCAAAGTTTTATCATTCAAAACAGCCTATAGGTCTCTTTTTCATTGCAGACACAAGGCAAGTACAGCCATCTCCACCATGGTCCTACGACCAGTCCTACCAGTACCTGGGCTCCATTGCCACCCCCTCCGTGCACCCCGCCACCCCAATATCACCCGGCAGGGCTAGCGGCATGACATCCCTCACCGCAGAGCTTTCAAGCCGGCTGTCAAGTAAGTACCTAAAAGTTAGTCCCCCAACACTGGGCCTCACTAAAGCCTGGAGGCCAACTCCAAAGCAAACCGGTTGCAATGTCCCAGGGTGCTGCCGCAGCTTTTCTCCAGTTGCAGTGAAGCCCACTGGGGGCCCTCTGCAGCCAGCCTTCTCCAATGTTTTGCTGCGATATGCGCAAAGAGTAAAGAAATACGGTTTGGAGCCCAACATATCATTGTCAAAAAAGAAAAAAAAAAAATAGGAGAAAGCAGCAATTTGTAGATCTGTAGAACTATAGAAATAGTTTGGAGTGATGAAGAGCTATCATATCTGCCAAGAAATTAATGCTACAGATACCTCAGTTCTGTTCCCTTCCCTCACTCTAAATTCGGACCAGAGCACAGCGGGTTATGGGTGGACACACTGCAGGATGGTGGGGTTTGACAATTTAAGCGTTGTGCTGGATTGTCTTGTTACATCTTCATCAAATTGTACTGCAGAGCTTTACCAGCCAACATAAAAATATAGCATGAGGTGAAAGCTACCCCCCTGGTTTTCACCATACTCAACTGACCATCTGCTGACTCTAACCCACACATATTGAACCAATATGTCTGCGTTCAATAGCAGGAATTTTCTTAAAATGAATGAGAGACATATAATTGAAATTTGCACACAGCTTTTTCAAAAATATCTTCTTTGGCCGCACATATTGCTCTCATTTGAATAGTTAGGGCTTCTTCTAAGATCAGAGAGAATCAATTGAACGTGCTCCAGCCTGTTCTATTGTTGTCATATAAAGCCTGCTCCGAAAGAGTCACAGGGATGATGCCCACCAAAAGTAAAGTATTTGTTAGATCTGGGTGTTAATTACATCTTAGAGGTAGCTGAAAATACAGGAAACCTTTGAGAAGATAAAAAAAAGGAAATTTCCTGTTTAAAAAAAATTCTATAAAAATTCTTATTTTTCATTGACACACCCTTTCTTTAAAAATGAAAAGACTCCTTTTGACTTTCTCCCTGTGTTTCCCTCGCTTTGCACTCCTTTCCACTGGCAAAATGCAGAAATGGAGAAAACAGAGAAGGAGGAAAAAAGATGTTCTTCACAGCAACCAGAAAATTTCAAAAGCACCAAATTATTTCCTCAAGTTTTTTTACTTGGAAAAGTAATTTTTCTTGATATAATTCTTTGAAACGAAAATATCTACCAGCTATTTTGATTTTCAAACCCTATACAGAGGGGTGCCTGATGCATGTATACTTGAAAGTGCGGTTGCGTGAATCAGACAGAATGGAGATGTCAATCACATTTTACCTTTACCAGCGTGGCAACTGAGGTTGCACTCAAATGAGTGAATGCACTTAATATTGAAATGCAACACCTTTTGCATTGCCGTAGTGCCCAAATGTCCTCACGGTGTGCGAGGGCCCTTATTGTGCTGTGCATGGCATGAGCACCAAAGGCTTCCATGGCGGCTGTCCCCAGGAGTCACAGTCCAACACCAGATAGCCGTATATGCATGGAGTAACTGCACGTCGTGTTTCTTTTGTGGCACATGGTGAGCATGGAGGTACAGCACCATCATTAGGCCTTGTCTGCACATTTTGTGCCCATGGTCAAAGTGATTTAACTTGGGGCAGGCATAGTCTCTCCATGAGTTGTGAAGGAACCTAGAATCATGGAATCACAGAGTCATAGAATGCTTTGGGTTGGAAAGGACCTTTAGACCTCATCTAGTCCACCCCCCCTGCAGTGAGCAGGGACATCTTTGACTAGATCAAGTTGCTCAGAGCCCCATCCAACTTGACCTTGAATGACCTAGAAAAGCTTAGTTCACACGTCAGCATTCTTTCTTTCCTGTCTTAATCCTGTGCATGTGTTCTCATCTCTACACATCTGAACTGCTTTTTATAACACTTCCGAAATGTTGCTTCTATATTAAATGTCACTCAGTATTCCCAGAAAAATCTTTCACAATCTTTTCTCCCCACTCCCGTTACTGTCAGCCACACTTGCTGTCTATCTAAGAAATTTCTCCTTGCCAGAACAAAGAGCAAATTTGAGGTTTTTTTCAGGCCCTACCATCTAAAGACGTTGTGCCTCAAAAGAAAAAGCAAATATATGGGACATACTTGAAACACTTTGACGTTAATTTTCATCATTCTGCATTTTGCTAAACTGGGTGGAAGAAACCCTCATCTGATAAGAGATGTGTCCAGGTAGTTTCAAGAAGTTTGATGTCTTTCTCAAGGATGAGATGTGGAAGTACCATTTAAAATCTGGCAGATTGTCAGATGCCACCTTCAACCTTAGCTACTCTGAAGCTCCTGCCACTCCATACCATAGTATATCTTGTCACGTTAAATCTAAAGCTGCTGGGGTCTAGGGGAAGGAAATGTGTTCAGGGGTCCCATTAATCTTCCAGAAAAAATGGAAGGCAAACTCAAAAAGAAAGCATACAGCATGCGTCAGAGCTTTTCTAAGAAATTTGTAGAAATTCATCAAAGTGTGCTGGCTGTGTCGTTGACGAGCTTTCAGAACTTGGCACTGGAGTGTGTCTGCTCTAGCTTTAAATCCAGTCAGAGCCAAAAGCTTTGTTTTCTCTCTGCTTCTTCTCATGAGTATTTCCTTCAGCACATGGCTCCACTTCTGCAGACTCCACGCCTCGTCTGACAGAAGAAGTTGTCTTCTGGAAAATTTTTTTCTTAATCATCATTGTTGTTATTTTAATTCTGCATAGCTGCCAACTCTAGGGACTGACACCTTCCATTAATCTGAGTCATGATGAAGATCTTTCCTAAAGAGGCCATTATCTGCTCTTCTTGTTTAATCCCTGCACACCAGGGAAGGAGACAGTGGGATCGGGCATACTTCCACTGATGTCAGACAAAGCGGAGCAGAATTTGACTGTCCTATAAAACACTTCACTTAGCAGGATGAGAAATGCTTCTAGCACACATGAAAGGAAGAAAAAAGGCCAACCCCCAAATATATCACTCTGCTTTAAAAAGGCAGTACTATTGTTGTCCTTTTGTACATACTCATTAGAGTCAAGATTTTCAGAAGTTAGTAACAATTATGTAGACATTATATGAGAACCCAGCTACAAAGACCTTAAATGAACCTGATTTATCTTGATGTTGGTAGCATTGAGAGTCAGTCGGGAACTGTGGTCATAAGTGCTGAGAGCTGGGCTGAGCCTGCATGTGTAAACCCCGCCTGTGCACACTCCTGTACCAGAAGGACAATCTCTGCTCCATGGAGCTTCCCATTTGAGTATTTGAGCAAATAAAACTGAGTGCAAGGAGACACTATGCAGAAGCTGGACAACTTATACTTAGGTCCCATCAGTATTTCCGGTGAGTCAAGTGATGCTGGGCAAGGAGCTCGAGATCTGTGTCCTTCTTCCCCACGTGTTGAGGACGAGGACACTCTGGAAGTGTAAATAATTCAATGCGTTGTAAGGTCTCTGAGAGTGAACACACACATATACAAAACAGGGCAAGAGCTTGGCACTCCTCTTTAATTGCTGCTTTACTGAAATTCATCCAAAACATCCAGATGGACGAGCATTACAATGACTGCATTGGAGAGCAGGTGAGAGATAGCTCTGTTCCAGACATTTCAGTTAACCGTACACCAGAGTTTGGATGTTGGCTACCACTTCGAACAGGTGAACCTCCATTCTGTCAGTTCAACCGTTCTCTGTCTCCCTTCCCCACCACCCAGGTGCTTCTGACTTGACTGCGTTCAGTGACCCCCGTGTGGGAATCGACCGCTCCTTCTCCGCGCTCCCCTCCATCTCCGACCCTCGGATGCACTACCCGGGAGCGTTCACCTACACACCGACGCCCGTCAGTTCAGGGATAGGAATCGGTATGTCTGCCATGTCCACGGCCACGAGATACCACACTTACCTCCCACCTCCCTACCCCGGCTCGTCGCAGGCCCAGGGCAGCCCGTTCCAGACCAGCTCGCCCTCCTACCACCTCTACTACGGAACCTCCGCCGGCTCCTATCAGTTCTCCATGATCTCAGGGGGAGACCGGTCCCCGCCGCGCATCCACCCTCCCTGCACCAACGCCTCCACGGGATCGACGCTCCTCAACCCCAACCTCCCCAACCAGAGTGATGTGGTCGAGGCAGAAGGGAGCCACAGCAACTCCCCCACCAACATGGCGACCACAGCGAGGCTAGAGGAAGCGGTGTGGCGACCATACTGAATGAATTTTAAGTAGTTATGGGCCAGGACTAACGTGCTTTCCATTTCCTGGTGCCCGTAGGTATCCCATAAACACCTGTCTTGCTTATGGGCCCTGCCGTGTTCATACATCACTTTGAGAAGGAAGCCAGAAGCCAGCGCTCCCAGGAGTGGTGGCGTGTATCAGCCAGCCCCTGGCGAAGCGACGTCGCTTCAGCAAAGCATTCCTCGTGAGGGGCTGAGCTTCTGGAAAGGGGGACGCCTGAGCTGGTGGTCCGGAGGGTAGCGAGGGTGGGTAGAGAAGTACCCAGTCTGTTTCCAGGCCTGTGGCTTTCTAACGTGCCTGGGCTTGAAGGTCTCCACAGCCCTAAAGAGAGTTTCGTTTCACTTCTATTTTTAAGACTTAAAACCTAAAAAAATCTTAGTGAGTTTACTGCATCTTACGGACATATTAACTGTAAGGAAGTATAGGAAGATTCCCAGAGGGAAACTGTGAACGCTCCTGTTTTAGCAATGCTGTGAATGAGAGGTTTTATATGTTGAACTTCATTCTTTCTTTTTTTTTTTTTTCTAACCACGTTGTATATTCCAAAGAATATGGAAATTTTTTATTGCTGGGTTTTTTTTGTTTTGTTTGGGGTTTGTTGTTTTGGGTTTATTTTTTTTTAGGATGCAGCTCATCCTGCTTTGCATCTAATTTGTTTTATTTCTCTTGGCATCTTAAAAATAGCAAAAGAAAAAGATTTTACTCTTTAGGATGCAGCTCATCCTGCTTTGCATCTAATTTGTTTTATTTCTCTTGGCACCTTATAAATTGCAAAAGAAAAAGATTTTACTCTTTTTTTTGTTTTAATCATGCTTGCTTCTTTCTTTCTTTGTCAACTGAAAGAATCAGCCCCTTTTTCAATGAGTTAATTTAACTTTTTTCTCTTGGACTTTTTTTTTTTAATACAACGGCTACAGCCTTGGGTCATTTTCAACTACTGTACTACTTTGATGAGTTCATTGATATTTATGCTTGATATTTAGACTTTTCTTATTTGTTGATACTATTATTATTTAAATATGCCTATATTAAAAAAGGTCAGCAATTGCCTTTTTTGGTAGCAGCCAAAGTCAAATTTATCACATTGAAAAAGGCTGGAATAACGATGGGTAAAGTGACCTCCTAATTACTAGAAATATTGTTTACAATTATCTCACTCCCATTTTACTCAGCCAACAGGGCTCAGATCCTCAAAGGCATTTAGGTGCCAAACTCCCACTGAAATGATTTAGGCCCCAAAATCCCTGTGAATTTCTGTGCTTTACCATCCAGTGGAGTCATCTCTCCCAACTCCTTCCTTGCTTTTCCTTTGTCACCAGTGGTGACCCTCAGGATCAGTAATCAGGATGTACGTATTTCATAAGACAGACTCAATCTTCCCTAACTAAACACGTCCCCATATGGCCCCATTCTGCTCCCGAGCTTGCCTGGGCTTCCTAGCAGTGCTGGTGGATGCCTCCTGGTTTTTCAAGAGTGAAAGCCAACACGCAGTTAGTATGGTATGGGTGAAGTCCTGGCTCCAATGGAATCGGTGCGAGATTTGCTCCCAGCTCAGCGGGGCCAAGATTTCTGCGCAGTACGAAAGCCACATTTCAGTGCGCTGCAAAATAAATCAGTTCATGCATCACAAAATAACTCAAAATGAACACGGTTGTCAAGCTCATATGGAAAGCAGGCTAGCAAAGAAGGGGCCTTAACGGTTCCTCCATCACCATCTTCTGGGGGAAGAGGAAGGGTATTTAAAACCAGTGCACACAATATCCTGTCCCGTAGTACATATGCAAGGCTTATACTAACAGCATGTTAACACAGAGTCGTCATCGTTGCCCATCGTTACAGCACAAACATATCAGATGTCACTGTAAAGTTTATGGCACTATTTTATTTGAGGGTTTGGTCTGAATGCAGTTGTTGTACTACTCATTAATTACAAACTGCTGGTGTTGACACGTGTACGTTCCAAATTAGCTGATTATTATTTAATGTAATTCTTAAATGAGTGAAACAATTGCAGGTCAACTCAGAGAGTATTTGAAAGCAGGACTTCAGATCAGTGTTTGATGTTTAAAAAAAATTAAAAGGATTCAAATTAAAAAGATCCTTGGCTGCAGGCAGCAAAACAGCTGGACTTATTTAAAACCATTTGTTTTTCAAGTTTTCTTTTTTTTAATATGATTTTGCTTCTTTGTTTAAGTCAGATGCAGTAGCACTTTGGTATTGAAAAGTTACAAATTGAAGAATTTACATTGTCAATAAGGTCATTTTTGTGCAGAAAATAAGGAGTGTTTCAAGAGACCTCAGCAAATGTTCAAAATGGTTCTGTTAAAACACATGCATGGCCTTGTGCTTTTCATTTAGCATAACATTTATAATTTTCTAGAGTTTGCTCTGAACAAAAAAGGCAGAAAACATCAAAATTATATCAGAACAGTTAAAAACATGTTTTGGAAGTACGGGGACCTTGCTGAATATGCAAATACAGAGACCCTACCTGTTGTGACATTTACATAGTTGGAATCTCACCTCTTCAGTAGCCTAAAAAAAAGTCCTTCATCACTAACAGTAGCTCTGTTGCAGAATCCATCTTACACATTCTCTGTCACCACACCATTAAAATCGTCATTTACTACAGCTCCCACGTCTGCCTTGTGACTGGACCACCCAAGCGCGTAGTACCTTGCGAGGGAGAGGAGAGGGCCTCGGAGGAGGAGGATGCCTCACCGCAGAGGGCAGGGCTGCCATGGCCGGGTGACTTCGACCCGGTGGCAGAGGGAGGTCTGTGTTGTCAGTACACTCCCAGGACCGTCTGTCGCCCCAGCCCGATTTCTGCTGCAGGCCTTTGCCCCTTTCAGCCCGCTTTGAGACTAAAAGATCAGGGATTCACACGAACGGGGAGCTGGCATCTCTTAGCCTGGCGATTAGACCCTGCACTGAACAACTCCTATGCCTACACATCTACTTTCTTTACACTTGTCCTAAATGTGAAGTTTAATTTTACTCTCCCTGGCGTAAACAGGATGAGAAACTGCAGAGCTGGTCACCACACTTACCCTCTGTCTTTACTGACAGGTCACAAACCCCCGGGATTTCCCAGGGTCTCACTTGTGGCAGTCGCCAGCAGCTGAACTCTTGAGCCAAACCTCTCTGCGTATGTCAAGCACAGCACAAAGAAGCGCCCTCTTTACAGAGGAAAAACTAAGCTCATTATCCCTTGCAATTAGTCTGTTTAATGACTGGGTTTCAGTGCATTCACACAAGTGCTTATGAGAAACCACCGTTTACTCAGATCTATATTTTTGTAGCCCTCCCCTGTCCACTAAGGACAGCAAAGCTCTTCAAGGCTGTAGAAATGCTCTCATGTTGTTCCTCTTGTATCTTAAGAGCACTTAGCAGGCAGAAAGAGGACATTTGGATAAAACACTTCTCACATTCGCACGTCTCCAAATTATAGTATATAAG